AGGCGCCGGAGGCAGCTGGGGCGCGCGCAGGGGAGCAGACCACAGGGAGCGAGGCAGAGCTGTTGGGCCTCGGGAGTGCAGTATAATTTGGGGGAAGGAATTAGCGTCCCCGGGACGGGACGGCTGCGGCCCCGTCCCACCCAGAGGCCGAGCGTCGAGGTCTAAGCGCAGCGGCGCCGGGGCTGGCAGCCTCGCCTGCTGGAGGCGGCTCACCGAGGCCCCGAGGCGCCGAAGCGGCCGCCCAGCGCGCGGCCAGCGCTTCCCTCCCGGCCTTCCCCTGGGCGCCGGCGCGCTGCCGCGGGAGGAGCTCGCTGTTGGCCGCCACTTTTGGGCTCTCGGGAGAGTCCGTGAACTCGACCTTTACGATTTCGGAGTCTCTGGAGAGGAGACAGTCAGCGGCGGCCAGCTGTCCAGCTGCACGCCTGGGCCGCACGCGCACCCGCCCCACGTGCGAGAGGGGCCACGGGGACCTCGGCGCAAAGAAGCCGAGGCCAAGACGGGGAGCGAGGCAGGAACGAGGGGAAAGAGTGACAAAGAATGGGATGCAATTAGAGGGCGCGCAGCCGCATTCCCACCCTCTGGCCCGCCACGCAGCGCAGGGCCAGCCAAGGAAGGACAGATGCTCAGTGGCCGCCGGCGCCTCCAGCCCCGAGCAGCATCAGGGCCTTGCCCCATGCCCCTTCGGCCGCGGCTCTCAGACCTCCCCCAAGCTCAGGCTGCGGTTGTGCTCCATCTGATTTCTCCCCCGACTAGGGAAACACCCCTCGCCAGTCTTGCCCACTTTGTATATGGATGCCCTTTTGTTGCCCTGGCGTGGCGCGCGCTCGGCCCAGGCGCTCCGGCCTCAGGAGCAGGCTCTTACCTAATTGCACGCACGCCGACACCAGTTTTCTGCAGTTGGTCTCCATTCCCCGTTATCTGCAAAACACAAGCAAAGGAGAACTGTGAGAAACGGTGGCCGTCGAACGCGCAGGGCGCTGCGGAGGCTACTTGGGGAGAGGTCAATGCAACGTTAGCTGTTTGGCGCCTGCTGGGTACCGGCATGCAGGCGTGTTTTTGCGAGCAGACAGCCTCTACTGTCCCCAGGCACCTACTGCCCGGCCTCCCATCCAGGACCTCTGAATGTGGACAAGGAGGGCTCTACAAAGAGTTGCAACAGATGGACCGAGCCAGGGACGGGAGCTGAGGAGACCGGAGTGATCTGGCCAAGCCGTGGGGCTGCTCTCAAGGGTGCCTGTGTTGGGGAGCAACCTTGAACACATACGCAATTAGGGGGTGGGTGGAGACCGCGCCTCTCTGGAAAGGCCATCCTCAGCAGTGTCTGTCCCTTCCTTAGAGCTCTGCAAACATTTGCAGAACATCGAGGCCGCCTTGCCCGGCACACGCAGTACCCCTCGTTCTCAACTGCAAGGAAAGGCACAGTCAGCCTAGGATGCTTCGGATGCGATCGGACCCCGGGCCTCTCATCTGGCAGGAGCCGCTTTTCCATATTTAGTCACACTTTACCCTGGAGATCCTCATCCGGCCATCTATTTACCCTAAAGTATGATTTAAGATCTCCCGAGCAGAGAGTCTGGGTGGACCAAGCGAGGCGGAGGAGAGCTGGCGTGAGCACTCCTGGAGGGCCCGCTGCCTGCCTGCCTGCCTGCCTGCCGCGCACACCGACCAAGAGGCCTGGGAGAACTGCGCCCGTTCTTTCCTTTCCCCTCCCAAGCAAGCCAAATCTTTTTCAAATTTCCAACCACAGCTCTTCACGCTTGGTCCCCTTCCTCGCCACAGGCAAACCAGGAGAGGTGGGTGGCGGGCATGTGTGTGGAGAGGGGTCCCCAGTCAGTGGGCACAAGAGCTGGAGCTGCTTTAACGACTAGAAAAGAAAGCAGGTCCTGGGCTCCCCAGCCCCCTTCAATCTCAGTTCCCGCCAGTCTGCAGGGTAATGGGGGTCTGCTGGCGGTGGCCGGGCCCACCACGCCTGGGGACCAGGCTGGCCTTGGAGGTGTAGGGGGCGGACATGGAAGTCGTGGGACGGGCAGCGAGGTGTGCGCCCCATTTTTGCCTAAGTTGTGCACGATTCCCTGTGCTCATCCTCCTGGAGCCTGCTCAGCTCCAGGGGTCTCTGGCTTGGAGGAGAGACTGTGGGGCGTGGGGATCTAAGGGTGCAGACAGACCGCCAGGCGGGCCCCTCAACAGCCAGCAAGCGCCCAGCCTGGGACGCTGCCGATCCTCGTGGGCCCAAGGGCCCAGAAGTAGCAGTTTGGTGGCTCCAGATTTAGTGATTCTGCAGTAAAATCACAGGATTAGTCCCTGATTGAGATGTCTGTTCGTGAGATATTACAAAATTCATTATCACAGCTTTCTACTAACTCGATATGAAGTAACACAGATGGGATTTTATTAGTCCAGACTTCAAATGTTTACTTATGATAATTTCGGGGGAAATTTGCATGTCATCATCATTTCGATAATCTTTTTTTTTTAGTGTCTGAACTGGCTGCATTATTAGCCGGTAGCCAGAGCATTGCAGATGGTAACTGCAAATAGTTTTTATTTTTTTAAAGGAATAAAATATACAAAAGAAAAAGATCTGGTCTTGGGGTGTTAAGTCAGTCGGTTACTACATACATACCCCCAGCCCCACCTCATGCTTTAGTGCTGATGCCTCAACGGAGCAAACACAAAACAAATCCTGAAGATCTCTTAGGTGGCCACTCTTAGGGACTGAGGAGAAGGTCCAGCAGTGTCCCTTAGCTCTCTCCTACACATCCTCGTCACTTTGTCACTTCGGGACTCCTTCAAAGTCAAAATGAGCTCCAAGAAGTGCATTTTAGTTCTGATAATGACCAGGCCTCCTAGACAGATTGGATCTAAATAACTGTGGGAGATAATTTTTAAAGAGACCTCCAGTTCCTGCCACTGATTCCTAAACTTGCCCTTTTAAGACGAGTCTTACGTGACAAATTCTGCTGCTAGTCTTTGGGATTGGTTTCCAGGGCTAATCGAGCAAACTGAGGCATGGGGCTTTTCCTGATGGGAGTCTCTCCTCACCCCTCCAGTCCCTGTCCTGCTTGGAATGTGTATGCCAACAACCTCGGTTAGTTTCCTTGTTCTGTATTGTCACCACGCTCAGACGCGCTACACTGAAGTTGGCATACACATCAACACCCTGGCAAGGCAGCCAGGCAAACCTTAAGAAATACAAATTTGCTTAAGAATAATTTCTGATGGCTGATGCAAGAATAACATTTGAAAAAAATATAGTTCTAATATTATAAGTCCTTTTACATTTCTTATTAAATTTCTTTGTTACCCTGTAACACAATCTTTAATGAAAAACTTAGGGATAAACAGCAGAAACCATATGTTTTAAATAAGCTAAATTGGTGCGATTAGCCAGTAAATTAATTTGCAGTGAGTAATTATTTAAGGAAATTAAAATATTGCTCAGTGCAGTTTGCCTATTTCGATGTGTAAGCCTTATGTTACACTACTATATGCTTAACTTAAGGGATAAAACACCCAAATAATTAAAGTGTAGTTTTGCTCAGGTAAAACATTCCGTAAGTGAAATAAGCAATTTTTGCAGAAAGGTCTGGCTTCTTATATTTTACACTTATAATACATCGACAAAACCACTCAGTTTATTTTGCTTATGTGCTTTGTTTCTCTGACATTATAGGTTTTTGAACTTTTGATGGATTTCCTCCAAGATGTTATTTATTGTGCTAAAAGCATCTTTTAGTTCTGGTTCATGCTCTAAAAGAATACAAAGAAGTCTCTCTACATTAATTTTTCATAAAAATATTTCAGAATGTATACATTGCTATAATTTGAATGTATAAAATTCTCTATTTAGTTATTTTAGTATGGTATGATATTTGCACAAAAGAGCAAAAAACAACACCCTACGATAGTTTCATTTCTAAATTCCTTTTGAAAGCAAGATGATTAAATTAGAGTAAAAAAGGAACACAGTTCTGGGGTTAGAATCTTATTGCCTTCTGGCTCGCCTGTTGGAAAATTATTCTCTGCGCTGCATCCATTTAAAACGTATCTCTGAAGTACAAGATTGTTGCTGACCGGCGATCAATTTAAAGGATTTATAATCCAAGTAATTGTGCGAGTTTGGCATCCAGGCCCGGCTCCCAGGTAATTCGCTGGGCCCGAGAGGTCAGTAACTGCCAGTTAAGATGGAATCTCTTTTTCCAATGGGGAATAATGGGACGCGGCTAATCTTCCAGTAGCTGAAACTTTGTCCGGGGCCCTTTATCTTGAGAACGCTAATCCTCGGGCCGCGGACTTGTCCCTGCCGGGTTGGCACGGAGATTTGGGGGCAGATACCTGGTTTTAGATGCCAGCGGCGGTCTGGCTTCCCGCTGGACTTCAGCACCCCGAGGACTTGAGGGCGCAGGGAACGGGGGGTTTCTCTGCAAGGTCTGCTCGCCAACTGCATTACCTCGGTGAGACGCAGCTTGAGAGCCACAAATCACCGTCGGCGAGATTCCGCGAAGTGGAACCAATCTGCAGACTCGCATTATCTCACATCCCTGCGGGAGAGGCGGCCTCCACTTACCAGCTACCGGGAAGCTGCCGCTGCCTCCGCGTCCCACCGCTTGCTGCCGGGTGACTTCCAGCGAGGCGCGGCCGGGCTCGGGCTCGGGCTCGGGCTGGGGCTGCGGGCGGGCGGCCCGGGCGGGCCTGGGCGCAGGCGGGCTGCGCGGCGGCGGCGGGGCTGTGGGTCTAGCGGCGGCGGGCAGTGCCTCCCCGCGCCCCTGCGGCTCCCGCGCCCGCGCTCGCGCTGCCCTCCCTCCCTCTCATCCCGCGCTCCGCCCGGCCGGGCTCCGAGTGGGGAGTGACGTGACGTCAGCAGAGATTCCACCAAACTCCGCGGCGCGGCGGCGCGGGCGCGGGGGGCGCGGGGGGGAGGGCGGGCGCCGGGGAGGGGGAGGGGCGGGGAGGGGTGGGGGAGGGGAGAGGGGAGGGGAGGGGGAGGGGAGGGGGCCGCGGCCGGGCCGGCCCGGAGCGTCGCAGCACCCGAGCCGGCGGCGAGGCGCTGCGACCGCGGAGGGTCGGGCGGGAGCGGGGGTCCGAGGGCAGCAACAGGAATCCGCGCTGGCCCGGGCGCCCTAATAAATCAGAGCGGGAGGGCGGGCGCGTGGACGGCGGAGCGGCTGGGGACCGCGGCTGGGCGGCGGGGCGGCCGGGACAGGGCAGGGGCCTCGGCCCGGAACAAAGGCCGCACGCCCGGTTGCTTTGGGGTGAGGCGCGCGGAGCGTGGGTGCGAGTGTGCGTGCGCGCGCGGCCTCCCGGGGCGCAGGGCCAGCGCGGACTGGGTCCGGGCGGCGGGACGGGGCTGGAGGTGGCCGGAGGCCGACCTGGCGGAGATCGGCGGGGATGCAGCGATCGAGGGGGAGGCCGGGATGCGGCCGGCGGCGCGGAGGTCAAGGCCGGGACCCCGGGGCGCGCGAGGCCGGGGCGCGCGGGGGGCCGTCCCTAGCGGCCCGCGCGCACGAGGGGTCGCGCTGCCCCACGTCGGCTGCGCCGAGGCTAGAATTTCTCCTGCTGTACCTACACTCAGCGAGTTCAGCCCGGGTCACGAATATCTCATTTTTTAAAATGACGAGGTTAAGGTTCCTGGCGAGGATGGGATTAAATTGCCCGGGATGGGGGCGGGGAAGGACGAGGAAGCCTCCCTCAAATCCATGTTTGCTCCTAAAAACCAAAGAATAGATGAAGTTTGGGGTGGCCTCCTACTGAACCCTGATTTTTTTTTTTTTTCTTACTCGAGCCAGGGCGCATGTTTCGGTAGCAACCAGGACACTTTGGCTGCGTCCCACATTTAGGTGGAAGGCCTATAAATACGATGACCCTCGAGGACCAGGTGCGAAGCCTTCTGCCAAGCATATGGGACTCAGTTCTTTTAGTCTCCAAGGGTTCCAGTTATATTGTTTTTGGGAAAGCGTCCGAAAACAGCCCCAGCTCGAAGGTTCAGGATTTCCCACCAATATTAGTACCTGCCTGTGAGCAAAACTCAGGCTCGCCGTCGAGAGTGCTCTCCTGTGGTTCTCAGCCATGAACAAAGTTCCCCTCCTAAGTTGCATTGCTCTTCCTAAATCAATATACCATTTCACGCTCTTGCAGGAGAATTCCTCGGCAGGTCGGCGAACGTGCATGAGACACACATTACAAAAAGCTGGCGCTCACAACGAACCCCGGGTCACACGGAGGTGCCCAGGCTCTCTTGGGTCGGGGCCTATCTGCAGCATGTTCCGTGTTTTCTTGCATTACTCTGTGTTTTGAATTCATTTGAGTCAGCAGTAAAAACAGGCAAACAAACTTGCTCAATTTGTTTTGAGTGCTAAATCCCTTCACTTTGAAATCGCTAACAGTCGGCAGATGGGTTCATTTTGTGCAGAGGGTTAGTTAGCTCCTTCAGCCTGGAGGAAAACTGACGCGGGGCTACAGGCTGAGCCCTTTCCACTCTCTGCCTGACATCTGTGGAAACCGGAACTTTCTCTTTTCTACCCAATGGAAATTTAAAGTGATGTTATTTAAGGGGAGAGAAACTGGGGGAGGAGGAGGAGATACGTGCTGTTTTCAAATTTTCTCCTCTCTGAGAATTTTTATTTCTGCCTTTTGAAATCTTCTCGAGGCAAGAAAATCGAATTTCCCGCAACTCCACAACTGAACCCAGTCGCAGTACACCCGATAGTGTCCAAGAAGAACGTTTTTAACCTCTGCCCATCAAAGATATTTTGCTGTCTCCCCGCCCTCTGCAGTAATGGGCTCACGCGCCCTCCTCTCCTGCTTTTATTTTCTTTTCGTTTTATAGAGATTAAGCGAATTGCCTCGCCTTCAACTGGTGACAAGGGTGGGGAATGCCACAAAAAAGTGGGAAGCGTGTAAAAAAGCCAGGAAGATTCAGAGTCTCGCGGGGAGACCCAGGGAAGGGGACAGGCTCTGCTTTTGCAGAGGCGCACAGGTCTCTCCCTCTGCCTTTGCAGCAGTCAGATTTGCAGCCTGGGCTGGGCTTCGGAGGCTGGGGAAACTCATGTTCCCTGCCCCCCTTCCGTCTGCAGCCTCGTCCACCCGCCTGCCGGGGCCTGGTTCAGCCCAGCCCAGCCACTGCGCCAGCGCTCAGAGCTTTAGGGTCCCCGCCTCGCGCAGCGCCAGTGCAGCCGAAGTGAGCAGCTGGTGGGAAATGCAAATGGTTCCTGGAGAAACAGAAGATTCAGAGCGAGTCTCATTCCCTCCTCGAGCGTGCGGAAGGAGCTGGACATACGTTTCACGCTCCTAATCCTTCTTTTACATTTTTAGTCATACTCCTATTAAACAACTAATTAATGCCCAGAATCACCAGGGAATACATTAGGCAGGCAGGGTGCCGGGGGGCTACAAACCACCGAGCTGATTTAAAACGTGGATATCAGGTTTTCCCTCGTCAAAGCAGTCGGGGAAGAGTAGGTTGTGTCGATTGTATTTAGATTCTGATTACTACTAAGAATTAGAAAGGCGGTGGAGGGGGCGTCCCGGCACAGCAAGCAATTCCCTATCCTGCAGATGTAAACACGATTGCAGCATCAAAGGTCTTAGCTCCTAAAGGGCCAGATCGCCTGGGCCGGAGAGACCCTGACCTGTGTATCTGTGAATTTCAAGGATGTTACACTTTTACATAAACAACTCCAGAGTGGGTCCCTTGGAAATTCCTGGTAAAAATCGAACTTTCTAGACTATTTTAAAGACGTTTCCCCTCCTCAAGTTTATATCCTTTTTATTTTGACAGAATTTTGAACTAGATCTAAAGATAATAGCTTTGCAGTGAACCAGTGCACGGGGTCATTTTCCGCAGCCAATCTCTTTGCTTTTCGATTATTTGATTTAAGGGAGGGGGCAGAGAATTAAACATAGCTGGAAAACCCAAACATAGGAAGAAGGTGCCGGCTAAATGAATTTAGAAAAAAATTAAGGGGATTCTGAATTATATTTCTTCCTACAATGTTTTGAAGCATGTAACAGAAGTGTGAGACTAAGAACCAAGGGAAGGCTGAAAATTTTGTGATCAAAATAGGGAAGACCAGGACACACAGGGCTGGCCTGGGCCATTCTCCCCCCAGAGCCGGGGTTTGGGAAGGGCACAGTACTGTTTTAGAGCCCGAGGTGAAGGGCTGCCTGCCACCACGTACTTTCTTCACTTTGGATTATGATCTCAACCCCGGAAAGCGATTTCCCCAGCTCCTATCTCACAACAAGCCAGTATGTAAATACCCGTGGCTGTGCTGTTTAACTGCTTCAAACATTATTGATTTGTTGGCTCTTCTCAATTCTCTTGCCGGTCCAGATCTTGCTTCCGAATTGTCTATTCCGGAGGTTTGATCTGTTCTCCGATGCTACAATACAATAATTGTTTAAAAAAGAAAAAAAAAAAAGTAAGGTGAACCGATTGATTTGCATATAAATTAAAATTATTATGCTTTGCCTATTCCGGTGTTTTATAATCATTTCAAAATTAGTACTTAACCACTTGAGCTAAAAGAATATATAAATGTCTGTATTGACTCACTAATGAATTACCTAATTAAAACGTCCGGGGGATGCTGAGCCCTGAGCCCTGGAAAGATTGTTCAATCAAGACTTATTAGGGAGGGATGGCTTTTGGAAGGGTATCGCACCCAAATCTGGAACTCAGCAGAAGTTTAGGGTCATGCCAGCCTTAATTTTGGGGGACCGGTCTTTCTGCTGTGTGGTTAATGTTTTTGTGCTCATTTGTAAATCAGTGGAATAGAAGGAGCAGTCGGTTGGTGGCGGTGGCTCAGGACATTGGCAGGGACAGGGACCGTGCAGTTCTGCCCCGAAGCGGTGACCGCAGGGGATGCGGGGGCCGAGGTCTCAGGAGGCGCCGGCCCCGGCGGGGTCCCCGCGGCGGGCTGTGCGCGGTCGCGGAGCTGAGCGGCGCTCGGAGGACCTGCTAACCGCCGTGCTGAGCCAGCCTTACCTTCGTCCTGAGCACGGAATGGAAGGTCTCTCTTGTGGAGAGGCGCGGAGGGCGCTGCGGGCGATCAGAACAGGCTGGCGGCGGGGATCCGTAGCCCGGGGGGCAGCCGGCATCCCCTTTCATTTCAAGCACGTATTGATTTGCTGTTGTCATCTTTGGCGACACAGAAGGACACTTGAAAGAATTTCTGATGGGGCTCTGATCTGAGAAAGGAGGTGACCTGCCTAGGCTCCCACCAAATTCTTAATCACCACATGCACTGCTGTGCTGTCGGCCAGCCCACCTCGGGCCCTGTGGCTACCCAGTTCGATTCTCCTCAACTTTTTAATCATTGGCACACTGGTCACCTCTCGGTGGATGGCCTTGCACAGCGCAGCGGGGCTCCCTCCAGACCTCGCCCTGCGCCCCTTTCCAAGGCAGGGCCCGGGTATTGATCCCCTGACCTTTGGCACCCGGAGGCCTGTGCAATCTCCCAGTCTTTTCAGATTTGGGGATGGGAGGCGCCACCCTTCCGATGTGTGCACACGCGGAGCCCGGAGGACTCACCCAGCCTGCCCTCCTCCGGCCCAACCGCAGAGGTGTCTCCCCGGTTCCCCTGAGGGCTGGCCCTGCCTGCCCCGTCTCAGCCTCTATGCGGGCCTGCGAGTGCCCCAACATCTCCACTGCGCTCCTGGAGAACCACGAAGAAAGGGAAACTGACGCCGTGGACTGGTTTGAGGATGGCTTCGGTGGTCCGAGTCCCCGGTTCAGGATTCTTCAAGCGAGGCCGGCTGCCATCTGTCCCGAGCCACTCCAAGGGCCCGCTGGGACCGCGCAGCAGTGAAACTCGGGGTGACTCAGGATCATCGCTGCGTGCGCAGGCAGATTGCACGTCCGTGTTCTGCACACACCACTGAGTTTTGGTTCATGCAGAATTAGTCAAAATTACCACCACAATTATTGATATTGGAGGGACAATTTCCTTGTCTCACTAGTGAAACAAGAGATCCTCAAAGTCTGTTTTTTCAATATTTTTTCATTTGCAATTATGTAAGGCACGAACTGCTTTATATAATACATATTCTCAATTATAAATTTCCAATAAAAAGCTATGTAAGATTTGTTTTTACTTCTGATAGTAATTTCAAAAGTGAAGCCACAGAGAAAAATCTGCAATGAGTGAGGCCCTTGAACTGACTATTGCTATGAACTCAGGAATCCCAGTGTTCCCGGACGGTCTTTTGCATTATCTTGCCCTATCTTGTAGTGCTTGCAGACCAAACGTGGTACTTTGGGTCCACACTCATAAAATTCTACCACTCTGCTGATTTTAAAGTAGCCCAGTCTGCCAGCATAATATTATTTCAAATAACAAAAATTTTGCCAATTTTTACTTCCTTCAGAACCTATACTGGAAAGTGGTAATAATTTGTATTTGCCCTTTCTTTCCCTTCTTCTGCTTTTTTTGTTTGTTTTGTTCTGTTTTGTACCAGGGATCGAACTCATGATCCCACACTTGCCAGGCAAGTGCTTGTGCCGCTGAGTTATATCCATGGCCCCATTCTTTTTCTCCTCCTCCTCCTCCTCCTCCTCCTCTTCTTCTTCCTCCTCCTCCTCCTTCTTGTATGGGCTGGATGTCCAGAGAGGACATCCTCATCACCACCACCACCATACATAACAAAACCCCAAAGCTAAGAACGCTTCTTCTTGTACCATTAAGTATTAGTCTATGGGATGCTTCTGACTTACTCAGTATCATCCCACAAAAGCACCCTGGAAACTTCCTTGAAGTGCTTAGCAAGAGTTGGAGGCAGCTGGGACAGCTCCTCTCTGGGCAGATCTCCTATTTGATTGCCTCTTGGTTTGGCCGTTGTGCTAAACTCTGGTGCTGATCATCAGATTTCTTTCTGAGGTCAGCACTGCAAGGTGAGGACTGTCCTCTTACAAACGTGTGTAGTGAGGCTTGGGAAGAACACCAGCTTGTAACTGCACAGTGGAGTGCTAAGAAATTATTCAGATCATATAGCTGTCACATGATGCAATGGGAATTTGAATCTAGATTAGACTGGTTCTGAATTAACCAAATGTTAACCAGTACAGTGTAGTGACGGTGACCACATCTGGAAGATCAATCTTCTGGAGGCAAGCACTATAGAACTTCAATGTAGATCATTTTCAATAACAACAAAAAGGAAAATAGACAAGAAAAAGCAGGTGTATTATTACCTGGGGGATAGAGAAAGTCAGAAATGTTTTAAGTATCAGAAAGGAAGAAAAAAAAAAAAAAAAGGACCGGATGAAAAGATACAGAAAAAGCCAACTTCTATTGACCCTGGACAGTTTATTCCAAGAAAGAGAAAGACAAGTTTAGATATATTTCTGAGTCATAAGAAAATTGATGTTGTAATTGTGGATGGCTGGAGCTTAATATAAAATCTCAGGAACCAGTCTACAGAAACTCTTTCCCAGAGGTTCTAAGGGACAATAAGATCTCTGACTTGGATTTAAGTAATTTCATCCTGCACCAAAGGGAGATAGAAGTGAGCGCTGAGTAATAAGAACATCTGTATTGCAGGAACATGCAGATTGGGAGGAGAGCGAAATCTAGAAAAACCTGTTAGGAACCCGGCCACTGTGCTAAACCATGCTGAGCTCAAAGGAGAAATGAGATCTTACCTTCATCACATACAGCTGGCTAGTTTGCAGCTCCATTACTGTGGGAAGGTCATCTGAAATCTTACGCAAGCTGACTTTCTGTGCCGAAGAACTTTGGGGTGTAGAGGGTGTCAGGGGGGCAAATACAGGGGGTAAGACCATAATCCCAAGGACACTGTCTCTGGGGAGCAATGCTGGGCCATGTCTTCCTTCTTGCTGATAGAAGTTAGCTGGGAGGAAATGCCACGCATCCTTCTACACATTTTATTTAGTCAAAACAAGCCAGTGACTGATCCCAAAGGTTATTCCCCTTTCAAGTTTGTCCCATTCTTGAAAATGACTTCAAAACTGGGTTGGCTTTTGCCTTGTGTAGAGGAGATAATATGTATATTTATGTGAGTGGCTTTGGACCCAAAAGTCACCCACAAAGCCACTCCGGAGAAGGAGAATGGATGAATCAATCCAGTGTCCTGACTTTTGACACTGGACTAATTTTATTCCTTTGTGCTGTGTGCAGTCAAATGACCTGAGAAATGGGGTCATATTCAGAAAAAGGGTCAGTGAGTTCGTTGCAGGGAATCTCAACCTACTCTGTTACCAGACCTAAGATGATCTCCAGAACACTGTGGTGTTTTTAAAAGTGAGCACCCAGAGCATGCCGGGCTTTATATTGTGTCCCTATGTTAGGGAACTCGTGGCATCTTTCTAAATGAGAAAGAAGAATTAGGATCTGCAGAAAGAAAACTCTGGGAAAGACCAGTGGGTCCCCTTCTCCTCAGCCTGTGTTTAAATTACTTCTAGAAAGATAGAAACCATCCTTGTTAGCCAAGAACCCCTTAATCCTTTGGAAATGTACATTGATACTTTGTGATTTCCCTTTTCCACTGTTCCTCTGTTAATTGACTGAACTTCAGTCGCTGAAGAAAATGATGTTACATTAAGTAGCCTTAATGAATACACAGCCTGCTTTCCAGGGTCCTCTTCCCCTATCTTTGACTCAAATAAGCTATATGGAAATTTTATTAATCTCATTTGAAAGATAGGAAACTGCAGGAACTTTTTTGAGAGTTTACCTACATAGGAAGGACGAAGTTAAAAACAGTCGAAACATTCCGTGTTCAGGACCTTTCTAGCAAACACACTGATTCTGCCTGCCTGAGTAGAGACCCATTTGATTGTAACACTATCTGTCTTTCTGTCTGTCTGCCTGTGAGTAGCTTATCTTTTAATCCATCAATTTATCTCCTAGCTAGTTTCCTAATACGCAGTAAGTTAGCCAGTGTTGATAAAATTTCACCCTTATCACGAGTGCTACTTGAGCAGATTGAGATGGTTGTCATATTTTTCAAACATCACATACAACTAACAGTGCCGCTACTGTTTAAGTGTCAGGATTCTGCTCTTATCTGGAAACTGCACACATGCCACACCTTCGGCGACAGGGCGACGGCCTCCACTCATTAGGAGCTCTGATATTTGCTCTGCGTCTTGGGAGGAAACCCATCCCTGTGTTGTCATCCTTTTCAAGGTTGTAACAACTGCCTTTGGCTTTGGATGTGTCCTTTCTCACCGATTGGGTGGGGTCGTTTTCTGAGCCCTGCTTCATTTTTTCCCTGAAAAAATGTTTAAATTTCCTAGGAGAAAATGTTGACATAATCTTGGAACAAACACGATTTTTCATATTCTGTCTTTATCTGGGTATAAATGTTCTTCTCTCTTTCAAATTCATATATTTCTTTCTTCTTCTTCTTCTTTTTTTTTTTTTTTTTTGTACTGGATCTCGAACTCATGACCTCACACTTGCCAGGCAGTTGCTGTCCTGCTGAGCCCTATCCCCCCAAATTCGTATATTCCAAAAATTTTTGGTGAAATTTTTCCCCCCTGAATATCACTTATGAATAAAAGCAATAGAATTCTTCAAAACACTGTGTTGGTTATGATAAATAGGCGTGATTATTATTTATCAATTAAAAAAGGAAGCCAGACACAGAGCAACAAATACCAGGTCATCTGACTCGTGTGTGGAATCTATACAAAAGTTGGTTATACACCAGTAGAGAGTACTAACCCAGCTGCGGTGGTAGTTTGAGGGAACATGTTGGTTAAAGTGTACTTGATCCTGGGCAGGCAGGAGGAATCCGTTGGTGACTTACAGCCCAGCCTGGTGTGTATTGTTAATGACTATATGTTGTATTCTGGAAAAATGCCAAGAGTGGATATTAAGTCTTCTCACTACAAAATGTGACTATGTGAGAAGATGCCTTTGTTCATTAGCTACATTCCAAAATGTACATATAGATCTTAAAAATGTATATCTATATCATATAAAAATATATATATAATATACATGTACCTTAAAACCTTGTTTCACTGTAAGAGTCTTATTTTCTTTTCTGATATTTGCTTTCCTTATCCTCCCAGAAATATTTTGATTTCTCTCTTTGGGAGAGCAGCTTTGAACCTCAACCTCACAGGTTAAAGATGCTCCTTATAATCTCTTGCTTTT